GTTACATAAACAATTAGTTCAAAATATTATCTATACGCCATGAATGAGAAAATAAATGTAAGCATAATATCTGTGCAAAGCTATTCTAGCGTTTGTGTGACAATGGGTTAGACATGGCAAACACAAACTGGCATAATTTGCTATTCAAATGGTTTGTGTAGATGTGCGTACAGACTTGCACGAGAACACAGCCGATACATTTAAAAAACACAATTAGGCTGTGATGGGCCCTTCGTGCTTAAATAAGCAAACGAAATTAGTCAAATCAAAAGCCTACAAACTGAATTTGACGTTTATTTTCTCCTCTGGTCAGATCCATCCAGTTCTTGAATATTTCTCATACTTTTGATTCCATAAAAGCATCTGCTGATCCAGGATGTGGATAAGATGGCCATTTGAGATGCAAGTGTGCGTGCTCCCTTCTAAAATACCAGGGTGACTTTTCTCCTTCCTCGCATTCTTGTGGACCAGACAATACACATGAGCTGGATTCCTAACATTATTTTATTCCTGTCAGTCCTCCACTCTGACTGAAGGTCAATTTGCTCGGGATGTCATTTAATTCCTTACAAAGCCAGGATCCCAACAAGCAACTCTAAACTTATTGGACATTTTCATAAAAAAAAAAAACAAAAAAAAACACAGAAATGGGTGGACATCAATTCCGGATTGAAAACACTGACTGGAAAAATTAGGGGAAACAGGAAGATCGGGACTAAATATGGTCCAAATGGCGTAGTAGCCAGGAGTAAAAACGTGCCTACACCCAAAATGGGTATGCAGAAAACTCCCTCGGACCCTAAATTGCTCCAACACACCCCAACTGCTGCTCCAGTCATAACAAACCCTGCATTCAAGCCCACAGACACAAACAGTGGACGTCCACGTCTGTATGGGGCCAGTGGATTAAAAAAAGGCACTGATAGGACCTTGCATCCAAAAAAGCAGAGTGTCTCTTGCTCAACAAAGCGGTTTTTGACGCCTGGTATAACCATGACCAACTTACCAACATATCTTTTGAGGAAAAACAAATAAATAGACAGACTGAGAGGCCAAATCTCTGTTTGACAGTGCAGCTTTATCTTAGCATACATCCTGAGCATGCACCAGGATAGCTTTATCTTCAATTCAGGTCACTCTTTGTTGCATTTATCCACCCCATAGAAGTGGAGGGGGGTTGAGCCATATGCCAACAAAATAAGCACAATCTGACAAGCAATATGAGGAGGCTGGAGGAGGAGGGGGAGATCATGGAGAGGAGGTTCAAGCAGGAAGCTACAAAAACTGCTGATGTTCAGTGAGCCGGTGGATGTGGCTGTCATGTTATCTGATAGCTTCTGGAAGAAACAACTCAGATCTATCTTCTAATTTTATGCAAAATACACGACAACTGATAATCACGTGGATGGAGTTTATCAGCACTTTTGGAGTCAATGTCAGTAACACTAAGCCCTGAACGCGACTAAAATTAGGTAAAGAAAAGCTAAATAGTCAGCCGGGAAACATGTTGCATTTAGCTAAGCTTAAGCGTAAACACTTTACTTTCAGTACGTCACATTAGCTTGTTAAGCGTCCCTAATATAAATAATTACAAGAAGAAGTTAGGTTTTGCACTCCAGCGTTTAACTCTTTACGGAGAAGTTGCCCGCGTCCATTGTAAGCAGGTGACCAGAAAGCGAGCTAACGTCGTTAGCTAAGAGCTAGGCGCTCAGAAACCCCGGTAAACGGCTGCCTGAAAACATTACCGAGCACTTTCAACATTGCTGGACTCAACCGGGTCCGAATAAAGACGCGGCTGCTGTATTTTCTTACCCATTTGGGCTCGCAAGCTTTTGAGTGTCGTAGCGCCCTCCGCCATTTCTCTGAAGTTTTCCTTCTCTCTCTCTCTTTCTAACGCAGAGGCGCGCAAACACCGGTAGGACTCGGACACCACGGGGACGTGGACACCAAAGATCAACTAATCAAAAGAAGATGTCTTACTCTGACATGTTTAAGAACTCTCGTGATATATGGAAGAACGAAAAGTACCCCATTATGAATCACAATGAACTTATGGTCAGCTACGAAAATAATCAGAATTTAAATAGAAAAATTACAATATTTTTTAAATCCTCTTATGCAGTTTGACTCATATGCTTTATATTTGCATTATAATCTGCAGGTCCAGATGAACTTCCACCTTATTTCTTAAGGCTGGCCGCTCATATCATCACAGTCCCTGTGACCCACATCTTCAATCTCTCCATAAGAAAAAACTCCATTCCAGATGCTTGGAAAACAGACTTTGTTCTTCCTTTGCTGAATGGAGATGACCCCACCTCACTGAACAACTATCGACCAATCTCTAAACTCTGCATTTTAACCAAGGTTCTAGAAAAACTGATAAACTCTCAAATCAAAAATTACCTGGACTCATTTAACATCTTACCTCGCCTTCAATCTGGTTTCAGGAAACAACACAGCACAACGACTGCTTCAATGAAGGTTCTTAATGAGGGTGTTGAAGCACTGGATGCTAAGGATTATTGTGCTGCACTTTTCTTAGACCTGTCTAAAGCTTTTGACACTGTGGATCATAACATCTTGTGTCATAAACTCTCGGAAATCGGTTTCTCAGAACACACCATTAGTTGGTTCTCTAACTATCTTTCAGACCGGAGGCAATGTGTTCAACATAATGGTACTTCCTCCAGTTATTTAACAGTCAACAATGGTGTGCCACAAGGCTCAGTCTTAGGACCCACACTCTTTACAATCTACATACATAATGTAGGTAAAACCATCCCTAATGCATTCATACATTTCTATGCTGACGACACAGTTGTTTATTGTCGAGCTAAAACAGTTGATAAGGCTTTCCAGCTTTTGAAATCTGCATTCAACAACATCCAGACAGATTTGTTCCGCCTCAAACTTGTCCTAAACGCCGACAAAACCAAAGGGATGCTTTTTTTTTCAAATAGGAAGTTGGTCCCAGCAGTTCTTCCTCTGATTTCATCCTCAAATGGTGTCCCCATTGAGTTTGTTGATTCCTATAAATATTTGGGTATCTTGGTCGACTTGCATCTCTTTTTTAAGCTCCATGTGGAAAATGTAGTAAAGAAACTGAAAGTTAAACTGGGTTTCTTTTTCAGAAACAGATCCTGTCTAACTCTGAATGCTAGAAAACGCCTTGTGTCTGTGACCTTTCTTCCCTCCATTGATTACGGTGACATTATTTACATGAACGCTCCTACAAGAACCCTGCAGATGTTGGATGCTGTCTATCATGGTGCACTAAGATTCATAACTGGCTGTGATTATCGTACCCATCACTGCACCCTGTATTCACTGGTTAACTGGACATCATTAACTTCACGCAGACTCTCCCACTGGTACATTTTCATCTTTAAATCACTTCTTGGTCTGCTGCCTTCATACATCTCCTCCTATATGTCTCTGCGTGAGTGCAGCTACGGCGTGCACTATCAGGACATTATTACCTGCAGTGTTCCCTCAGTGAGGACTGAACTAGGCAAAAGGGCCTTCTCCTACTCCGCTCCTGTTTCCTGGAATATCCTACAAAAACATTTGAAGCTCTCGACCTTGACCTTTCTAAGTGGCTTTAAGAATCTGTTGGACTCCTGGCAGGGTCCAATGCAGACATGTTCCTGTTTTTAGTTTTCTACGTTCACCTTAGAATCTAGCTGTTTTTTGTTACTTTTTTTTTTTTGCCATCCTATTTGAAAAAAAAAATTTTGTATGACTTTTTATAACTGTTCATTGTTGTCGCTGTTGTCCATTGTTGTCATCATTCTTTGTTGAAATCAGGTCTCTCTTGTAAATGAGTCCTCGAGGCTCAATGGGATTTACCTGTCTAAATAAAGTTGAATGAAAAAAGGTTGAATGAAAAAAAAAAATTGTTTTATCAATCATTCAAAAAAAATAATTTGATAACCAACTGCAACACAGATTTAAGAAGTATTTTTCGCAAGTTTATTTGGTCTAATTAATATCAACAACGCTTTGTTTTATTGTGTGTACTTAAGATATTTCAAAATACGAAATGCCGAACAAACGGAGTGCCACTAAAATGACTGTAGCGGTGCATCCTTATAATAGACGATCTTGGGAAAATGGGAGAACGCAAGAAACAACTGGTGGGTGTAAATTTTAAACTCAATACCACCATCTAGTGGTAAATGTTAATAATACTAATACTACTAATAATACTAATGCTACTACTACTACTACTACTACTACTAATAATACTAATAATGATGATGATGATGATGATGAGCTGTTCGTTGAAACGCAGTCAAACAGTTTGGGAGCCATTAATTAAAACACATGCATGACTTTAATAGAACAAGAATTCATAATCTTTTTTTTTTTTTTAACAATATAAAAGTGTTTGTGAAGTTTTGAAACTTATAAAGAAATATGATCATGAAATTGTTCAATATTTGCCTATCGTATATATCTTTGAAAAGCAGTGATAAAATAAATTAAAGCCTTACCAGATTTAATGCACAGAAGAATCTGGAGCTGACTAAATTCCAAACTGTGAGAGGATAATGAAATTCTCTCAGAGCTCGAGTTTCTTTCGCTCACCATCAACACTGTATCCTCTGTCCTGCTTCTTCTCACATGCTTTAGCTGGAGGGCTGCTCATTCATTCCACACTGAAAACAGGAAATATCGCATGTAGGTCTGCAGCTAAAATGACCTGAATATGATATTTCTTGATGCTTAAGACACTCAAAGGTGTTCTCATCGCACCATCACATGACATGAAGTTTTTTGAATTTACTGTCTCAATATGTATTGATTTATTGATTTTATTGTCAGTACAACAATTTTAAAAAATCCATTTGTTGTTATTCAAATGTACAGGTTACAATGATCTTACATTTTGGTCTAAGTTTGTTTGAGTAAAGAGTATCTCTGTGCTCCAGCAGGTGATCTGAAGACATAATGTGCATAGCAGACTGCAAGTAAGGTCCTCAGGGTGTAAGTAATCACTTGTTCACCACTGCTTTGTGTATCCTGGAAACAATGTCAAAACTAGGCAAGAGTGCAGCAGCCTGGGCCAGCTGAGGCAGCTGTGTGTAGGTGGAGGTGCGCAGGTACTGAAAAAGGTCCTGGAAGCTGTGGAGATGAGCAGTGACCTGAGGGGGCACGCCTAAAGACAGCCCCAGCTTCCTTAAAGCGTGAGTGTTTTCAGGAGAGTCGAGCAGCAGGGACAAATCCTGGACGGAGTCGTAGTCGAGCATCTCGATACTCTGACCTGATAGATTCAGAGCAGAGATAAACGATTGCAAAATCAGAACTGAGGTTAACTCATCCTGGTGGAAAAATGAAAGGGCATTAATGATAAACAGACAAAGCAGCTGTTCATTACAACACAAACTGTGACTAGTGGGAAACAGAACATACCCTGAGTGATCTCCCAGATTTTCTGCAACTTGTGCTCCATCTAAAATTGAAAAGGAGGCTAAGAGTTACAACTGATTCTCACATGCAGGGTCAACATGAGTTAATTTTATTACATTTTGTAAAGAAAATGGACTGGAAAATAAAATAGACCAGTTACATATCATAATTTCTCAGTCAAACTATAATTTACACTGTTTTCTGTAAAAGTGGAGTGCTGTTGACCTCAATCAGTGATTTCATCAGGAGGCAGAATACTTCTCAGACCTTCTCAATCCCACCAGCACGTCTTCCATGGAAGAAGCTGAGTTGGGGGACTTTGGGGCTGGTCTGTCCATAACCGTGACTGAGGTCCCGAGGTAGTTAAAAAGCTCCATGGTGGAAGGGCTCCAAGGATGGATGAGATTTGCCCTGATTTTCTTAAGGCTCTGGATGTTGTGGGGCTGTCTTGGTTGACACACCTTTGCAACGCCACATGGACACCGGGGGCTGTGCCACTGGATTGGATGGTGGGTCCCCTCTTCAAATAGGGGGACTGGAGGGTGTGCTCCAATTACAGGTGCATCACTCTCCTTAGCCTCTCTGGTAAGGTCTATTCAGGGTACTGGAGAAGCGAGTCTGATCGCTGGTCGAACCTCAGATCCAGGAGAACAATGCGGGTTCCTTCCTGGCTGTGGAACACTGGACCAGCTCTTTACCCTCACTAGGGTCCTTGAGGGTTTGTCCATCCAGTCTATGTGTTTTGTGGACTTGGAGAAGGCGTTCAACCATGTTCCTTGGGGTACAATGTGGGGGGTGCACTGAGTATGGGATTGAGGGCCTGTTGCTACGGGCTGTTCGGTTCATACAAGCAGTGCGAGAGTTTGATTCGATTTGCCAGTAGTAAGTTGGATCCCTTCAGGGTGGGAGTTGGACTCCACCAGGGCTGCCCCTTGTCATCAATTCTGTTCATAACTTTTATAGACAGAATTTCTCAATGTAGCCAGTGGGCGGAGGGAGTCCATTTTGGTGAAGAGGGCGCTGAGCTGTAAGGCAAAGCTCTCTGTTGACCGGTCAGTCTACGTTCCTACCCTCACCAAGGTCTGGGTAGTGACCGAAAGAATGGGATCTCGGATACAGGAAGATGAAATGAGTTTCCTCCTCAGGGTAGCTGGACTCTCCCTTAGAGATAGGGTGAGAAGTTCAGTTATCCAGAAGAGACTTGGAGTTGAACTGCTGCTCCTCCACATCGAGAGGAGCCAATTGAGGTGGTTTGGGCATCTGGTAAGGATGCTCCCTGAACCACCTCCCTAGTTCAGGCATATCCGACTGGAGATCTTGAGGAAGACCCAGGACACTCTGAAGAGACTATGTCTCTCGGTTGGCCTGGGTATTCCTTAGAATCCTCCCAGAAGAGCTGGAAGAGGAGTTTGTGGAAAAAGAGGTCTGGGCCTTCCTGTTCAAGCTGCTGCTCCCTTGACCCTACTTTGAAACAAACAGAAGATGATGTATGTATGTATGTATGTATGTATGTATGTATGTATGTATGTATGTATGTATGTATGTATGTATGTATGTTTGTACGTATGTATGTATGTATGTATGTATGTATGTATGTATGTATGTATGTATGTATGTATGTACGTATGTACGTATGTACGTATGTACGTATGTACGTATGTACGTATGTACGTATGTACGTATGTACGTATGTATGTATGTATGTATGTATGTATGTATGTATGTATGTATGTA